AGCCCTACCACTGCGATTGGCCCGGATGTGAGTTCAAGACCGCCAAACCCTCCAGTCTTTGCGTCCATAAGGTATGCTTTGGTCACTGTTTTTGGGCTCCGACTGAGTGTCTGATTGTTGTATTTGTATTTGCCGTTCAATTGATTAGATGAGACACAAGAATGTGTTGCGCTATAAGTGTGATTGGCCTGAATGTGAGCGCACTTTCCTGACGTCATCGCAACGGACTGTCCATAAGATGGTTCACATGGGTATTAAACCGCACGCGTGTCAGTACTGCGACAAACGGTACCCGCAGTTGAATAAGTTAAAGACACACCAAAACAAACATCATTTCAATCAATTGCCAAACACTTCGTACGACTGATTGGTTACCGATTCAATGGTCACTCAACTCTCACTAAACAATCATTTGTCATATTATTTTGCGGACCACTCGTCCGCCACTTCCAGACAACCACTCTTTTTAAATAAGTTTCTGTATTTATATATTGACTGCAATTATATTTATTAAATTAAATGCTCTGTTTGTATATTCTATATAGTTTTAAATTAACATTTTAAGTCTAATTAGTTTTAATTTATTAATTAACATTTTAATTACCGGTATGTTATATATCAAAAACAATTATATGTATTATGTGTTCATTAAAAAAATAATTTATAAATTAATGAAATTATGAATTTAAATATAAAATTAATAAAATAAAACATTTCATACATTATATCATATAAACATTAAAAAACTTTTGTTATTGCATATAATTTATATGCGATAACAAAAGTTTTTTTAAAACTTGAATGAGTCGTCGGAATCATGTAAAGAGTTCAACACATTGTATATAAAATTGTGTCTAAAATAGTGATGCAGTTTATGTGCCGTTAAGTTATTGTTTATAAATTAATTAATTATTGTTTCAAAACAATTAGAAAACTCTAAAAAAAAATTGCAGGACACCTTTTCATGCAATATCTAGTTCTAAGTTGAGCTAATCAGCGCTCTAACTGTACACATCTTTTTTAGTATACTTATAGATCTGCAATGTTTGAAATAGCATTTTATGCGCCAATGTTATAGTCAATCAAACAGTGTGAAATGACACAGTGACCAATCAACATTAAGATTGAATGTATTTTTAGAAAGTATTTTTGCAACATTGCAGATAGAAAAGTATACTGTACTTTAATAAATCGGAATAACTTTTTAAATGTTTCAAAAGCTTATTTTGTTTTTTAATTGAATCTCTGTTGGAGGCACTTTAGCAACGCCAACCTCTGTCCTGCCACCTCGAGTTCATAGTTAAGAACGATTAATTCCATTTGCATTTAAATGATTCATATTAGTTATTATAATGTTAATATTTGCAAATAAACAAAACTTAATAATACAAGGCACCTCAAAATGGTGGAATAAATTCGAGGACACCTTTTCATGCTACATCTAGTTCTAAATTGAGTTAATCAGCGTTCTAACTGTGCACATGTTTTTGCAATATACTTTAATATACCGTAGTAACTTTTTAAATGTTTCAAAAAGTTCATTTAGTTTTTAAATTGAATCTCTGTTGGAGGCCCTTAAGCAACGCCAACCTCTGTCCTGCCACCTCGAGTTCATAGTTAAGAACGAATAATTCCATTTGCATTTAAATGATTCATATTAGTTATTATAATGTTAATATTTGCAAATAAACAAAACTTAATTATACAAGGCACCTCAAAATGGTGGAATAAATTCGAGGACACCATTTCATGCTACATCTATTTTTATGTTGAGTTAATCAACGCTCTAACTGTACACATCTTTTTCGATATACTTTACAATCCAAATAGTATCTCATTGTGTCAGTAATTCATTGCCTGCCCTCTCTTTTTGCCCCCTCATTGACTGAACCCATACAAAAAGCATTGGTACACTTCCACAATATCATCCAATAATAAAGAGACAATGATTTACTAACACAATGAGATTCTATTTGGATTGTTAATATATGGTAATAACTTTTCAGTTGTTTTATAAAGCTCATTTAGTTTTTAAATTGAATCTCTGTTGGAGGCACTTTAGCAACGCCAACCTCTGTCCTGCCACCTCGAGTTCATAGTTAAGAACGATTAATTCCATTTGCATTTAAATGATTCATATTAGTTATTGTAATGTTAATATTTGCAAATAAACAAAAACTTAATAATACAAGGCACCTCAAAATGGTGGAATAAATTCGAGGACACCTTTTCATGCAATATCTAGTTCTAAGTTGAGCTAATCAGCGCTCTAACTGTACACATCTTTTTTAGTATACTTTAATAAATCGGAATAACTTTTTAAATGTTTCAAAAGCTTATTTTGTTTTTTAATTGAATCTCTGTTGGAGGCACTTTAGCAACGCCAACCTCTGTCCTGCCACCTCGAGTTCATAGTTAAGA